GCTAATTGTTCTGTAGTCTTCGCATGTCTTGGCATTTACTTTTTTTGGTATGGTCACGAACGTCGACTTTGTTTATATGGCACGCGAAGAAGGAGAATATTGATATTAAACGAGCCTTTGATAGATGGCGCTGCTTGATACCGAATTGGTTTCGGTGTGGACATTTTGTCATTCATGACAACGTTTTTCAAAATTTTTAAAAACAATTTGTCTGGTTTTTACAGCCGTCAAAAGCAAGCAAATTTTGTGTTTTCGGAGAAATGGAAAAAGTCGAGTATCGTTCGGTGATTAAGTTCCTGCACAAAAAGGGTAAAATGAATGTACAAATTAAAACCGACCTGGACTAAGTTTATGGTGAGGTGGCAACTTCGTTAGCAACAGTAAAATTATGAGCGTCCCAGGAGGCCAAATGATAAACATTTCCTACGAACACGTAAACAACATCATTCACCATCATTTGGGCATGTCAAAGCTATTCGCGCAATGGGTGCCACGTTTGCGGACCATCGATCAAATGCAAAAACGTGTGACCACTTCGGAGACGCTTTTGGCGATGATACGGCACGATCCGATGGATTTTTTTCGGCTATTTATCACCGTTGATGAAATTTGGGTGCATTATTACACACCGGAAACCAACGAACAGTCGAAACAGTGGCGCAAACGCGACGAAGAGCCGCCGAAGAAGGCAAAGAGTGCAAATTCGGCCGGCAAAGTGATGGCGACTGTTTTCTGGGATGCGAAGGTCATCATCCACATCGACTACTTAGAAAAAGGAAAAACAATCAATGGTGAGTACTACGCAGCATTATTGGATAGATTTGATGCCGAATTGCGTCGAAAACGCCCCGGTTTGGAACGCAGAAAGTGCTCTTTCACCAAGACAATGCACCGGCTCACTGATCGGATGCCGCCATGGCAAAATTATATGAATTGGGCTATGAATTGGTTGAACATCCACCGTATACCCCAGATCTTGCCGCCAGCGATTTTTTCCTGTTTCCAAACCTAAAAAAATGGCTCGGAGGACGCCGTTTCGCAACAAATGATGAAGTCGTCGCTGAAACTTCGGCCTATTTTGAAGAGCTCGAGCAAAAGTACTATTCGGATGGGATAAAAAAATTGGAAAATCGTCTTACTAAGTCTATCGAGCTAAAAGGGGACTATGTTAAAAAATAAATCGATTTATTTCCAAAAAACTTGTTTTTTCTATCAAAGGCTAGTTTTATATCAATCCACCCTCGTATTCACTAAAGATGATCAGTTACATTTGATTCAATAAGAAAAGATAATATTTCAGTAACACCTTTGTTTATTCATTTATGCCACTATTTTGTATACAATAAAAGAGTATTTTTATTATGAGTATTTTACTCTTATCTATTAGATCTATTTTAAGTGATTTAAACTAAAAAAAACAGCTGCTTATCCGATTTCAATGAAATGATATATTAAGTAGTTTTATGTACAAAAAAAATTATAATTTGAAGTGCGTTTTATATCAAAACGTATATAAATAGATTTGTGTTTAATTTGGGATATTAGTACCATACTGTTGATCCAGTAAAGGTAAGAAATTGTTATAAAAACATATTATAATATACTATTATACAGTTATTTATTGAACAATTGCAACATATTGTATTCTAAGTATGTAGTCTCTGTGTGATGTCTTGGAGAAATATATTGAGTGAGTTATTTAATAATACAAATTCCTTTATTCGTCTTGGTGTAATTATGAAGTTTATTATTTTTTACTGTTTGTCCACAATTTTGATATTCTTCGTATTAAACAGGAGAGATTACTGTACCTTATAACCATTTGTTTTCGCTTTTTGATGATTTTGCAGATTTTACAACCTTTTGTGGATTTTATAGTCAATGTTTACAACCTTTTGTATTCAACGTCAATGATTTTTGTTAGATTTCAGAATTTGAAGTCAAAAAGAAATACTGATATGCAAGTTGTTTGAAACGCAATCAGTAATTAAAATTGATCTATATTTAGTTGGACTTCTATTTTAAAGGCCATGATTAATTTGTCTTTTTTTATATAACTGTTTCTGTTTTTTTTTCTATATCTAATTGGTATAGGTTTTTTAAATCTTTTTCTGACCTTCTACAGTAAGTGTTGGACATAATGTTTGTAATTTGATGATTTCCTAAGTTATTATCACCATCATTCTCGTTGCCATTATCCCTATGTGGAATCATCTTCACTAATTAAGTGTTCTTCGTAAGTTTCTACCCTGGGTCATAACAAGATCAATCCCCTTTTAACAAAATCTACTGTCAAAACGTCTTCTCAAAATCTTTCTCACCAGTTCCTCCTAGGAACTTGCAAATCAGCGATTCTGCGTATTGGCTAATCAACATCTCGATGTTGAACTTGCCAGAATCATCTTAATCGATGCTCTATCATTTTGGCCCATAAGTGTCCCCTAAAATACACATTCTTAACCATATCCTTTTTTTAGCACTCAACTCATCTCTTTTTTTGCTCTTCGTTCTTTTTAGCTTTTTAACTGCCCAACATTCAGTTCCGTACATTATAGCTGGTCTTATAGAAGTTTTATATCCTCAACATACATTAAGCACCAGGAAATGTTACCCTGTATTTTCGCTGTTATCTGGTCTAACAGTAATGAGAATAAATAGAGACTAAACATTGAGCCTTGATAAAATCCTACTTTCACTTAAAATGTATCAGTCTCTCTCACATCTATCCCAACACTAGCTGTTACTCCCTTATACATATATCTCACAATCTACACATATTCACCGGAAACTCCTTTTTTAATTAACGCCCACCACAGAATCTCTTGGGGAACTTTATCTTATGCTTTTTCATGGTCAGCGAATACCATATGACGTTTGTTTCTTTATTCCTGTATTTTTCTGTTAGCTGCTTTATAATAAAAATTATTAAAAATGAAAATGAAAATTATAAAACTAAACTGATTATCGAATATTTCGGTGTCTTCACCGTATCCGTCTATTAATTACTCTTTTCCATATATGTTCATGGTTAGACTAAACAGTTTAATAACCCTGCAGATTGTGCATTGTTGTACATCTCTATTGTTTTTATAAACAAATACTAATATGCTGCTTTCCCATTCGTCTGGCATTTTACCAATCCTATAATTCTATTAAACCTTATCTCATATGTCTCCTACAGCTATCCATATTTCCCCAGGAATATCATTTGGTCTAATTGCTTTATCTTTATTTATTTTTTGAAGTTATTGAGAGCCTGGAATGAGGAACAAAGCCCGGAAGAGTGGTGTATTGGGATCGTTTTCCCGCTACACAAAAAGGGTGAACAAATGGAATGTAGAAACTGTAGGGGAATAACCCTCCTTAATGCAGCATGCAAAATATTTTCGAGTATTTTATATGGTCACCTGAGTGCATATTCAGAGGAGCTTCTTGTCGAATATCAAAGTGGTTTTAGGCCTGGTCGATCAACAACAGACCAGATCTTTGGGCTGAGGCAAATACTGAAAAAAAACAATGAATTCAATATCGACACATACCATCTTTTCTTAGATTTTAAATCGGCCTATGATAGTGTGCTAAGAAATAAATTGTATGAAGCCATGGATGAATTCCACATCCCCGATAAACTGATAAGATTGGTTAAGGCTACAATGCGTAAAGTTGTTTGAAAATCGAAATAGAGGGCGAACAATCACAGGCATTTGAAACGCATGTTGGACTGCGACAGGGAGATGCGCTGGCGTGTCTTCTTTTCAACATAGCTCTAGAAAAGGCGGTCAGGGATGCCCAAATAGACAACAGAGGAAACATTTTTAATAAATCATCCCAAATTTTGGCGTATGCAGATGGTGTTGACCTAGTTGCCCGCACAACACGCAAGCTAAAAGAAATGTATACCCCCTTGTCAAATGCCTCAAAAAATATGGGCCTGCAAGTAAATGAGGAGAAAACTAAGATCATGGCATCAACAACTATCTAGAGCCAGAAACATCGGCCATCAACTCACGGTTGATAACTCTACCTTAGAAGTGGTGGACAAATTCACATACTTAGGCTCCCTGATCACCAAGGAGAACGTCATGACGAAAGAAATCAAGCGAAGAATAATCCTAGCAACCAAATGCTATTTTGGATGGAGTAGACATATGAGAAGCAGAAACTTAAGCCAAAAAACAAAAGTAACCATATACATACAAAACCCTTATACAACCAGTATTGGCCAGTATGTATGTCTCTAACAAAACTGGCCATATTCCTCCAAATTGTATTTTTCATGTTCCAGCATATTTTTCTATTATTTCTGCCCCAACTTATTTCTCATCTTTTAACATTCACCACTTAATTTTTTATGGTCCTCTCCGATATTTTGATTTAGTTTTGCTTTTTTACTTCGATGTCCAGTACAAGCAACTAATGTTGTTGACATAGTGTCTGACTATTACCCTACAATACTTACATTCACGTGTATCTTGTATATCACGTTTTCTTTTCTTGTGAAAAAGTAATCTATTTGGGGGTGATTTTGTTCACTTTTATATGTAATAACTTGACTTTCTCCTTTTTGAAAGAATGTGTTAATAATCTCATCGCCATATCTAATACTGTTGCCAATTCCACTATGTCATCCCCAGGTTTATTTCTAGTTCCAAAACCTAGTCCTCCATATGTAGCTTTATATGTTTTCTTGGATTAGCTTACATGTGCATTAAAATATCTGCTATTATGACTCTCATCTCTGCTTTTCGTTCATTCTCACCAAGACCGATTTGAGAAACATACACAAAGACTCACATACAGAACGCACACAATATTTAACACTTCGTTAGGTTCTTCTTTAATTTTCCAAGTCACTTCTTCAATTTCCAAAGTTATAAAATCGCTTATTGTGGTATTGCATTCACAGTGCATACGCAGTGGCAAATTAGATTTATAAAATTTAGATAGTTATAATTTGATCTGGTTTAACTCTGCTATTAACGATACATGTTTATTTTTTCAGATAGATTAAAATGAAATTAGCACTAATTTTTGCAGCCACCGTTCTGGCCGTTAACGCATTGTCAGAAAAAGACCACTGGGAAAATTTCAAAGTAAGTCAAGATTGTTAAAATTATTTAGAGATATAATTGTTACAACTATTTAAGTAAACTTCTTTTTAACGCATATTTTTTTAACAACATAAAACAATGTTATTTGTATCCATCATATAGTTCGATTGGCTGTAAAGAAAAAAACATCGTTTACAATGCATATTACAAAATAGCACCTCTACTAGATAGCTGCATGTAATAAAATCCGTCTAAAATGTTACAATGCTTATGGGGAGATTTCTAATCATCCAGTAGGTCGCAATTAAATGAAACTATTTTTTTCACCCATTAACAAGGTTAAAAATGTTAACGCAATATTTAAATTTCATACCCACTGTAAAGTAATGGCTCTTCCCCGAATCTTGTTCAGGGGTTTCTGATTTCATTGTTCACATAGCTTTCAAATATTTCACTTAACCGTCTATGTGGCGTAAGCAGGGATTGATTCTTTCCAACATAAAAGAAGTATACCTAATCCAACATAGTTCATGCTTATGGTGTTTTCTTTTTCGGTAAATTGACCAATATGGCGAATACTAAAAGAAGTAGGCGTACCACAACATCTAATTACGCTTATAACCGAACTATATGAACACACTACTGGATCAGTTAAAGTACTTGACACACTTTTGAACGAATTTCATCCAGAACGGGGTGTCAGACAAGAATGTATACTATCTCCACAATTATTCAACATATATGGGGAGTATATTATGCGAAGAGCACTTGAAGGATGGGAAAAGGGCATCTCAATAAATGGTCATAAACTAAACAACCTACGTTTCGCAGATGACACAGCCCTTCTTGCAAATAGTCAAGCAGAGCTGATAGAACTTATACGACTGATCGAAAACGAAAGTCAAATATTTGGTCTGCAATTAAACATATCAAAGACAAAGATCATGATAGTGGATACACTACACAACAATCATCCACACATAACCACAATTGACCGGTTCGAGGTTGTGAGCTCATACTTATATCTGGGATCATTAATCACAAACACAGGGTCATTACAAGAAGAGATTAAACGTAGATATGATCTAGCAAAAGTTGCAACAGCAAAAATGACCAAAATATGGAAAATGACCAAATATGTCAAATTTCAAGAGCGATAAAGATGAGGTTGATCAACTGCTTAATATTCCCAATACTGACCTACGGATGTGAATCTTGGACTCTGAGACAATCGGAGAGAAGAAAAATAGACGCCACTGAAATGTTCTGTTGGAGACGAATGTTACGAATTCCTTGGACCGACCGCAGAACAAATAATTCAATTTTAAGAGAGCTAAAAGTTAGCCAACGACTCTCTATAATAAAGTAAAGTCCATCTCCAACAATTAAAATATTTTGGGCATATTATGAGAGCAAACACAGAAAACATGGAAAGACTCATAATACAAGGAAAGGTAGAAGGCCGAAGATCACGAGGAAGATCCCCAACAAGATGGATAGATCAAATTACAGGAATATGCCAAAGACCTATGCATGAATTAAAAGAAATGACCAGAGACAGAGATCTCTGGAGACGGACAATACACGACATCACGTCGACCACTACACTCCCCCTGGGGGGTCAGGATTGAAGAGAGAGAGAGAGAGAAATTAACCAGTTGGTTTAATTCAGTTTCTTTGAAGAATACCTGGGGGAGGTGTTTAGGCAGGACATGTAGATAAAAGAGATTGATATTGTTATGACCCCAGATAGAAACTTGAAGAATAGTAATTAGGGAAGCCGATTTTGTATGGGCATAAATGCAAAGAGTATGATGATAATAAGACAGTGGGTGCAGCCATTACCTTATAAAGTTTTATTATTGTATCGTTTCTTGTTTTGTTCTTTAACGTTCTGTGAGTAGTTTCTCATATCGTCGTGGTACTTGCAATACGTCCTATGTCAAAAAAACCACTTTCTAGTTTATGAAACATACATGACCGATTCAGTCAAATACACAATTCCAGTAAGTCATATGTCGAATGGCCAATAAGAAAGGTACTACGACGATATATATTGTCGATTTTGTGACAAGAGTCTCTTTATTTCTCAAAATTTATGTCAATTGAAATGACATCCCTTTTTCTAGTGAATTATCGTCCTATTTTTGTTCTTATGGAGTCTTTACCTTCAAGCACCATAACTTTTGGGTTTTTCTTTAATATTTTCATATTGTAATGCTTCCACGTCAGATATAAATTTGTAAAGCCCATAATTAATATCATTTTGACAATCGACGGAAATACTACAGAGGGCGTATCATGAGTTATATATCTGGTTAGCACTATCAACTAAAATGGGACTGCGAGGAAAAAGTTAAAACTTAAAATTAGTCATTTTTAAACCTTAACAAATTTTCTATTAGCTCGCAATGTCCCATTTACACTTGTACTACGTTTTGTGAAGTGCTACATATGATCCATTTTACTTTATGACCCAGAGACGTGGTCCCTTAAAGTTGGAACACTGAATTGCGTTCGATGCGCAGATGCTACCATATTTAGAAGAGACGAAAACGACTATCTATAAACGTTTTGAAGAGTATAGATAACCGCCAACGCAGGGATAAGCTCAAGACACAAGAAGAAAAAAACAATTAACTGACCATCGGCAAAAATATTGCTCTTATTTGTGTACGCTGATTTATAAAATGTAGCACTTTTACGTGCAGCATATTTAATAGTTGCCTCCATAAGTTCTTACATTTTTATATGGCGAATTTAATATGACGTTTGTTCTTAAGTACTCTAAGATATTAAGTACTAAATATATCATAGATTCTCATGGTGTTACATTCATTATTGTTCATTAGTGATTTCTAAGTGATAGCTTTGTGGGCGAAGTTTTTTTTCGTTATGCTTATTTGCTTTATTTTTTTTAAATTGTGTCTTCTATGTTAATTATTTTCAATTTAACTAATAAACTTCCCTTATAATTTCTGATTTATTTTTTTTTAAATTTGCATGCTTCAATGACTGCATTTTAACTTATTTATTCCTGTGTCGTACTGATTTGGAACTTGTTTTTACTTTTAAATTGTTATTAATTTAAAATTCATCCATATAGTAGTGGTATATTCTTTGTTTTAATGAAAATAAACCTCATGTTCTCTTTAAGGTTACACATAATAAAAACTACCGCAACCATGTTGAAGAAAATTTACGGTTCGAAATTTTTCGGAATAATTTAAAAGCTATCGAAGAACACAACAAAAAATACGAAGCAGGAAAAGTGTTATACTTCAAAGCCATCAACCAATTTGCCGATCTTACCAAGGCAGAATTTTCAGCGCTGTTAGGATATAAATCAAAAAACCGAACCAGTAAAGTAGAATTCTACAGATATAATGGTTTGAATGTTCCAGACTCTATTGATTGGAGAGAAAAAGGAGCTGTTTTGGCAGTCAGACATCAAATTGACTGTGGTTCCTGCTGGGCTCACAGCGCTGTAAGTATTTACTATCTTTAATACATAATATAAACTGGTTATCGAGTAAATGTGATTTAGAATTAAATTAAATGTGAAAACTTTATGTCATTTCCCGAAAGCGGTACTAAAAATTACCCTATAACAATATTTATTGCCTCTATATTATTTAAAATTATTCCATTTAAATTGACAACAATGTTAGGGCTGCTGAAGTTTGCCGAAGTCAGTTTAATTTACGAGGGTCGGTATTTTAAACCTAATCAGATAATACTAAATGAGTAAGTACACCAGACAGGTGAAAAGATAAATATAAATATATTATAATGACTCAAAATAAAGTTAAGCACAAAAAAATAACATCTATTTATACAATTGTAATATTTTGAAGCATAGTTTCCTAATATAACGATATAATATTACCGGCAGTTTATATAATTCAGGTATTCTATAAAATCCTAGGCAATGTGCAGAATACCGGGGGCATCTAGGTGATGTATAAAATATTACACATATGATTATCCATTACACATTTTGCCTAGACAATACACAACTCTTAGGCATTGTATAGTGTACCAGATAGTCCATCAGCAATGTTTGGAATAAATCAATTTTGACCTTTATTTACTAAGTTTTGTGTAACTAGGTAGTCTATCTACCTAAAAGATGATGGAAAAATAAAACACGTTATATTTTCTTGAAAGAAACTTTATTAAAATGATCAAGATGCTCATTAAAAACAATCTTTTTAAAAAAAGGTAGGTATTTTTGGAGTAGATTTTTATAATATATAAATGATTACTTAAATTATACTTAATAATTAAATAAATTATAATTAAAGAGTCATACTTTTTGCAAGATAGTTTGCTTTTTGTACTACATGAAAAAAATTATTGGAATTTACTGAATTTAGCGCAACTGTGGTATTTTCAGCAAATTTAGTGACATAACACCCTGATTGCTGTTCCACGTTTTCTACTCGAACTCTTGTTGCATCAGAAAAATTATCTAATGGATTCCGAATCAAACATGTTAAGCTATCGTTTATCAGTTGATTGAAATTATTGACGAAAATCAAAAATAAAAGAAAACCAATGATACTTCCCTGTGGGACTCCGGAGAGGACATTTTCTTCCGAAGAAAATATATTCCCATTCACATTGATGTTAATTTTTTGAAACCTTTTCGATAAAAAGGTGTGGATCCACTTTAACGCAGTTCCTCTAACTTTATTACCCTTATCAAGGTTCGACAAAATATGATTGCACAGCGCTAGTAGTGCATCTTGCACACTTATACCTTCACGGAAACCAAATTGAGACTTTTCTATAATGTGCTTGTTCATATACGAGAGGAGACGTGTATGAAATGCCTTCTTATATATTTTTGAAAACACAGATAAAAGTGATAGGCCTCGATAGTTATCAAATTTTGATTTGTCACTTTTTTTATGTATGCACAACTAAAGCAGTATTTAGAATTTGAGGAAAAATCCCTTCCTGAAATGAAAGGTTTACTAGAAATGTTAATTGTTTATATATGTTATGAGATACATAGAATACGGGATCTCATCCAGTCCAGCCGAGGATTTTTTTGAGATATCTTTAGATATACTTTTTATTTCTTCATCACTAACAGGATAAAGGAAAAGGAAGTGTATAGGCGAAGAAAGATTATTAGGATTATAGTCAGGTAAAGTTTGATTAATTAAATTTTTTACGGAATTCGAAAAATGTTGACAGCTATTTATCCCTAGCATCTCTGAACAGAAAAGAAAAGATAGCAGTGCGAAGATTGAGAATAGGACACACACGTTTGACACACGGTCATCTTATGTCCTCTACAGACCAACAGTTATGCTCTATATGTCAACATAACTAGTCAGTTATGTTACTTCTGGGTAATTTAGAGACACCGTCAATTCCTCCAAATATTGAATTTTGTACCTCAAACTTTTAAAATTTAAGTGAAAAACCGTCAACTTTTGAGATTAATTTTACTATTTGAACTAAAGGCATCTTCTTCACTAAAAAACGCCGCACATATGCACCTTGGGGCCATAGCTTTTTCAAAATGTTGGTTAGAAATACTCACTTTAAAGGATGAATACTGGTCTGGAAACTTTGACTTCAGAGGGCTACTCATAGCCTCGGGAAAATGGATCTGTATTAGTTTCGATAAATTTTCATTAGACATTGATGGGTCAATATTCAGTGCCATATTCAGTGGTTTCAAACATGTATATCCAGATAACTAGCACTAATAATGGAATAGTTATTCCGAAAACGTTCTGTGATGTAGCCCTATAGGATCTTTATTGTTATACTTTTTATAAAGGAATTTTTTAAATAAAATTTCATACAACATTTAATATTAATTATCTTTAACGTTTTAGGCATTCTATACATTGCCTAGATATAGTATAATCTACCTAATTATACAGATTGCCGGTAACATACACGGGAATCAAGTCTTGAAATGTCTTTTACAAATTTTAAACTTAATGCTTTAACCGATCTTCAATTTAAGGTAGGGGCACTTGAAGGACAAAACTTTATCGTCAACGGCAAATCCGATCTACTTAGTCCTCAAGAACTAGTAGATTGTTCAGATGAATACGGAAAAAGTGACTGTATACTTGGAGGAGACATGCTTGAAGCCTTTGAGTACGTTAAACATGAGGGTCTTGATACAGAAGAGCAGTATCCGTATGACGACGAAAAATTGTCATGCAGATCAAAAAGTCCCAAAGCAATTCATATTAGTGGATATAAACTATTGGCTCGCGATGAAAATATTATTAAAGAAGCAGTCGGTAAGTAATAATTGAATATTCGAATAAAAAGAATACTTACTGATATTATGTAACCCGTATGTAACTCCTTTTTCTAATTATGTTTTGATTATTTTTTGTGTTTTCCACGTGTATTGGGATATTTGCTAGCGTACCTTATTCCAACTAATTTTTTCTCTTTCTAATCATTCTTTGAACGTACCTAATTAAATTTTGCTTGTACCAAGTGCCAGAATTTCCTCTAAAATTAGTTACTTACCTGAGTGTAGATTTATTTTTTGAATTCACTAATGTTGTTACCAAATAATGAGTTACGCTATTTTAATTTTAGTTAAAAGTGCATCGAAGTAATTGTTCCATGTTTTAATTTCAGCTACCATTGGTCCTGTCTCCATTGCTCTAAATTCTTCGCCTCTCGGTTTCTACGCAGGTGGAATTGTTGATGGCGAATGTGATCCTAAAGCTATTGATCACGGTGTTCTTATTGTCGGTTATGGATCAGAAAATGGCGAAGATTATTGGATTGTTAAAAACTCATGGGGTAGTTCATTTGGCGAGAACGGTTTCTTCAGAATAAAAAGAGGAGTCAACCAATGTGGTCTCACATATGAAGTATCCTATCCCATATTGTAAATAAAGCAGTAAGGAATTCTTGCATATTATCTGAAGTAAACATGCATTTAATATAAAAACTTTTTTTATTTATTTGGTCAATTAGAATATCAAAAGTTACCATTGTGTTTTTTTTATAACCATCACAATTATTATATCAGAATAAAATGTACATTAAAAAGAAATGCTTCCGAGGCTTTATTGGCAAATAGGTCTTCTATATGTAGTAATGGTTAATATTGTAACGAGAAATTAAACTTACGGTTCGATTTATTTACTTTATATTTATTTATATTGTAAAAAAGCTGTTTAAAACTATAACAAAGTAAAGCATAAAGCTAAAAGCGCACTTTTAACTAATAAACAATTACCGAGTAATTTCTACAAAAATATTGAATGTGACTAAATAAGCAAACACATGCTCTATAGTCTGTCCCTCCGTGACTGTACAATACATGAACATACGGCAATGCAATCCTTTTTCTTCAAGCGAATTTCCAATCAAACATTATTAGGTCCTAAAAATATAGGGCCCTAAAAATGTTAAATTGAAACTAACCCGTTACAGTCAATAGCATTGTAGTAAAACAATATTTTTCATTGTTTTTTGTGAATGATAGCTGTGGTGATAGTCATTTTCGAAAAGTAATCAGCAATTTTATAATCGATATGCGTATAGTCCGTCCCCAACCCTTCTTTCAGTGCGTCATAGACAGAAAACAACGTGAGTCTGTTATTATTATACATACAACTTAGAAAATTGGGTATCGTTCACGGGTATTCGTATATTAAAGCGAATTCTACTTACGGATGTATAATTGCCGCAGTAGCTATTTCACGTATTTTGTTGTCTTAGAACATAAAGAAGACCTAAGTTTATCGTAATTAATGATTTGTCTATGCCATTTATTATTTGATACACGGAAATAATGGATAAAATGAGAAAATACTCACACACCACATATGGTCTGTGGACTCACGAGATAGCTTTTGGTCATTTTTGTTCTATAGAGTCCACAGACCATATGTGGTATGCTTTAAAACAAACATCTTTTAATTACATATTTATATATTTTAAAACATTATTGATTTATTCATAGCCACAAGATATCAATTTTTACAAAATCATAACTGGGCGTATGAACAATTTCCACTCTAAAACCTGGACAATGAACCTGTTAACAAACAGTAAATCTGATAAATCTTCGAATATTTCTTTGACCCTTTCTTCATCATAAAACGGCTTAGACTTTTGCGCAATTTCATGACAAAATAAGAATGAAGCATCAGTAAAAGCCTTAGACTATTAAATCGGCTTACAGATTTTCCTGAGCAGTTAAAAGAGTTTTTAATGCTTGAAATTTATTCTTTCTCACTTCACTCTTAAGTGGAAACTCTGATTGGTATTTACCGTGCATTGTGTTGAAGTGACGCTCTAAATTTCCTTTTTTCGGTATTGCAACTACTGTATTGCAGATTAAGCACCAACAATATTCCTTTACCATGATTTACCATGTGATTCGCTCTTACGTAAGCGGGATAAAAATAGCAGAATGAAAAGCGAAAGAAAGCGGCTACCCATTTATAGTCACTATATAGTACATAATATACTATAACATTTATAGTATCATTTAAAGAGTGGACACTTCATAAGTATCTCGCGATGATCGATGTAAGATTGCTAATGCTCCAATAATTTTCGTAATACATATTTATTTTATTTTTCGGATATTTTTTTCCTTGCTCCCAATCAACTGACCTAGGGGCCGCGATCGACGGGTTGGCCTCCCCTGGATAAACGATACAAGAAAACGCACAAAAATCTCAGTATAGGCAATTTAAATATGGGACACCATGTATACCTATTTAACTATAAAATAAATTCGTTATGGTGGAAGAAGTATATGAAACTGTTGGTGGTGGTAATAGTAGCACAAGGATTGATATCTATCTTAGTGGATAGTTGTAATTCTTCTAATAAAAGGTAAATGTTATTCATGTTTTTATAAATATTTTTACAATTTGGTATTGTTTTTTTTTTATTTTTTGGGTGGTCGTCAAATTTAGAATTAAAATGATGAAACAGGTGAAAATTTAGATGAATTACGAAAAAAATTGAAAACCCAAAGTAAGGAAATTGAAAAATTTCAATTCAAACTAGCCGCAGGCAAAAAAGTATTCAGTAAAAATCAAATACAAAAACTGAGTTGTCAAAAGAGAATAAATTGGTCTGTAAATAGGATTTCAAATGCTATTGCAATGTATGCGGCTGGCCCTAGAGCATACCGGTTAAGTTTGAAGAGGGGTTTTCCTTATCCAGCTATGGAGAAAATGCCGGCGTTTCAGATGGAATTATGTGTGATTCCACGTGCTTTTAATGTTCTACTAACATTCCGCCGCTGTTCTCTGAGATTTTTTGAGTGGACTGTATTATCTTGATTGTCTATGTTACGTAAAGAATACGAATAACATGCAACTAACTTTTATTTTCTTTATGTACTATAGGTAAAAGAAGCAGGTAGTTACAATATGTGATAATATACGTTGTTACACAGAGTTGTTAATTTCGCAATTGCGGAGACAAATTTTCTTATTAAAACACCATACTTCTTCTGACAGTTCAGATTGAATTTAATAATGAACAAAGGAAATATTTTATTTTGAATATTACATGGTTGTAAACAAAATCAGTTTACAACCAAGCTGTATCCACCCCAAAGCAATGGCTGAGGAAAATACAGTAAGATCGGGGAATTTTAAAAAATGTCTTGAAAATAGCTGAATTTGCCGATGTCTGAACGTGATCCAATATGCACAATAATGTTCGACGAAATAAAAATAAAGGCGGAATATGTTTACGACCAAGTAAAAGATTCTGCATTACCACCGTACAGTTATGTTCAGGTAGCAATGATTTCCGGATTATTCAAAGCATGGAAACAGGCTATCTTTTTTAATTCGACTGCCAAAATGTCATTATCTATATCAATGCATATTTTATGTAAAATACTGCATTTTTCATTTTTTTATTAGCATATTTGCCTTAGTAATAAGTATAGGAATAGAACTTTTAGTTATACAAACGTTTAATCGAAAACCACATATATTTAGTTCTTGTATTACGCTCTATTCGAAACTAACTAAATATTTAAAAAAATGGTCGAACATATTTTGTGATTACTTGTTCAGTTGAGTTATTTACACAAATTTCTTTGGTTTTCTGCTTCTGGATGTTTTTAATTTAATTATTAATAATTTTAATTTGTAGGCAATTATTTTGAAATTCCTTGGACAAAAAATTGTATTTATATATAAAGTAACTTCTGTGTAAAGTTCAGATTTTTTTCCTTTTGCAATTTGAATAGAATAAGAAAAACTGGTCGTTATTTATATTGGTTTATTTCCCGCTTGCCAATACTCTGTGAGTGACGTCATGCGCGCGGCAAACGACGACTCGTTCGCGGGAGCACTCGGGCCTGGAACGAAGGTATTAGATAAAAAATGCAAAAATATATTTGTACATATTCATTTGATAAATATACTCTTTGGTTCATATAAAATTTAAAATATAAATACTAATATACAAAAAGAAATCTAAAAATCAATACCATTTTGGCAATGAGTACTGTAAAATATGTTAAATGTAATGGCACTTACGGTAACTACTCTAGAACTTTAAAAGCACTTCGAAATATAAGATTTTACAATTGCTCAGGTATAAAAAATATGTAACTACATTTGTGGAAGATTTAGTCGTTAAGATATGATTTGTACGTTTCAAAAGAGAGACTAAGGTGGAAGTGCAACTGGATTTGATTTTTTCGGCGGTTTGGGCGGAGGAGTCGGCGGGACGTTTTCAAGTTCTATGTCTAGCGTCTCCTCTGTATACGTCAAGGTGTTTCTCAGCGTTGAATTCCTGTGTGAGTACAGAAAACTGTAGTTTTCGTAAGGTAATACATTACTATTCTCACTATCTCGATTGTGCTTCACTGGCAGCGGAGGAGGATTTATATCTTCTTCACTTATACTCGAGTCTGTTGTTCCTAAAAATAGAACAGTTTTAAATTGAGTTACCTAACAAATATCTAGGATAGATGTATACAATAGATGTATTTTTGGAAAGAATTCATCCAGAGTAAACAAAACATATAAATTATCGTTTATTCACAACGAGACATTTCGAAATATAAATAAAGGACACGTAAGGATAAACACATATAAACTAAAGAATAGTATCAAAATTGTAGGCAGTATGTTCTCAGAAATAATGGTGACAAAGCTACTTATTATTGCAGACATTTCTAGAAAAGTATATTGCTCAAAGAAAATTCTAAGAGCATAATTATAAAAAAATACAATATCTTTAATCTTAATTTCTTTAGTTACTTGTTAAGACGAAACGCATTCATCGTTTGCTCACCAGTTAATGTTGTAGTGAAACGTGTGAAGTTGATGGGGAAATTAAAATCAGTGATATTGCTTTGTTTTATTTTGACGCGAATTTTCTTTACTGGAGTTGTATTACTTTTCGTCTAAAGCAAAATGCTGAGAAGAGCGCCACGGAACTAGCGCCACAAGATGGCGTCGTCACAGTATAAAGAGGTTCCACAGTAAAACCACTCATCTGTCGGCGCTTTGATCTCAGAAAGAATACCGGCAAAGTACGAATTTGGTAATCCACCACCGTTAACCTTAGAGAGCCGTATTAAAATTTTCTGAGCCTACTACTATTAATTTATTTAAATAAAAAATGCGGCTTCCCATATTTAACTGTCCTGATGTTCTCACTAAATGTTAATATTACAAAAACAAAGAGTTTAATAAATTAAAAACAATATTATATTCATTGTTTATATTTTTCAACGGTATTTTAAATATCAACGGTATTGCGCAAGTTTTAAAATCTCAATGGTTTTTAATATATTGTACATGTCATATAAACGTTAAATAAAAAGGAGGTTAATTTCGAAGCTCTCATGGCATTACTATACTCTGTTTTTAAACCAGGAGGAGTAATTAAAGTTTACCGCGTCATAACGCTTGTTTATAATTCGTCCAACGGCAGGCAAGTTTACTCCACTGTTGTGAAATTTTGACATTTATGAAATTTTGTCCTTATT